TTTCTTTCTTATTCATGTGCGGTCTCTTACTCTCTCTCTCTCTCTCTGATTCCTGTGCTGTCTCTTGCTCTCTGATTTCTGTGCGGTCTCTTGCTCTCTCTCTGATTCCTGTGCAGTCTCTTGCTCTCTGATATCTGTGCGGTCTCTTGCTCTCTCTCTGATTCCTGTGCAATCTCTTGCTCTCTGATTTATGTGCGGTCTCTTGCTCTCTCTCTGATTCCTGTACTGTCTCTTGCTCTCTGATTCCTGTGCGGTCTCTTGCTCTCTCTCTGATTCCTGTGTGGTCTCTTATCTCTCTCTGATTCCTGTGCTTCATCTCCTCTGGGTTTCAATGCGGTCTCTTGCTCTCTCTCTGACTGATTTCTGAAATGCGGTCTCTTGCTCTCTCTCTGATTCCTGTACGGTCTCTTGCTCTCTGATTTCTCCTGCGGTCTCTTGCTCTCTCTCTGATTCCTGTGCAGTCTCTTGCTCTCTGATTTCTGTGCGGTCACTTGCTCTCTCTCTGATTCCTGTGCAGTCTCTTGCTCTCTGATTTCTGTGCGGTCTCTTGCTCTCTTTCTGATTCCTGTGCAGTCTCTTGCTCTCTGATATCTGTGCGGTCTCTTGCTCTCTCTCTGATTCCTGTGCAGTCTCTTGCTCTCTGATTTCTGTGCGGTCTCTTGCTCTCTCTCTGATTCCTGTACTGTCTCTTGCTCTCTGATTCCTGTGCGATCTCTTGCTCTCTCTCTGATTCCTGTGTGGTCTCTTGCTCTCTCTCTGATTCCTGTGCTGTCTCTTGCTCTCTGATTTCTGTGCGGTCTCTTGCTCTCTCTCTGATTCCTGTGCGGTCTCTTGCTCTCTCTCTGAATCCTGTGCAGTCTCTTGCTCTCTGATTCCTGTGCAGTCTCTTGCTCTCTCTCTGATTCCTGTGCAGTCTCTTGCTCTCTTTCTGATTCCTGTACTGTCTCTTGCTCTCTCTCTGTTTCCTGTGCAGTCTCTTGCTCTCTCTCTGATTCCTGTGCAGTCTCTTGCTCTCTTTCTGATTCCTGTACTGTCTCTTGCTCTCTCTCTGAATCCTGTGCAGTCTCTTGCTCTCTGATTCCTGTGCGGTCTCTTGCTCTCTCTCTGATTCCTGTGCGTTCTCTTGCTCTCTCTGATTCCTGTGCAGTCTCTTGCTCTCTGATTCCTGTGTGGTCTCTTGCTCTCTCTCTGATTTTTTTCTCTCTGTATGTCATTGTTTCTCTATATTATATTTTGTTGCAGTTACTGTAGTTTCAGCTGGCTATACTCAGTACTACCATATCAAGCAGTCTCTCACTTGGCTGGACGCCCTCTCGTACTGTCGGTCTCAGTACACAGATCTGGCCAGTACAACTTCAGATTTAGAACTTTTTGGACTTGCCCTTTTAACCTCCAATAGTGACATCTGGATCGGGTATTATCTGTGCTCTAGTGGATCCTGGCGTTGGAGTAATGGAGCAGTTTCTTCTTATAACAAATGGAATTCTGGGGAACCAAACCTGAGAGCCAACGCCTGTGTCCGTCTTGGCAACGGAAAGTGGAACGATGAGGACTGTGGCTCTCGTTACTATTTTGTTTGCTACAAAAGTGAGTCAACTTCTTTTCTGATGGTAGCCCTGAGAAATGATTGACTCCCAAATGAAAGCCTTCTTTAGGTAAAATCGGCCATGTGAGAATTTATTTTAGGAGAAATTCCCACATTCAATTCTCGTTAATTATATTAAGCAAACAGAGCTGAAACCATTTAATGTGGTTTATTGCTTGATAATGTTTTATTACGTTTTTCATTAAAAGTTCTGAGCTCAGTTGAAGTCCATTCGTTACCAGCTTGTTCGGTGACAATCATATCACTTCAATAGAAAATTAAGAATAAACTTATACCTTAACCCCTTAGTGACCAGACAGTTTTTAAATTTTCTTACCGTTAAGGACCAGGGCTGTTTTTGCATTTCTGCTGTGTCTGTGTTTAGCCGTAATTTACCTCTTACTCATTTACTGTACCCAAACATATTATATACCGTTTTTCTCGCCATTAAATGGTCTTTCTGAAGATACCACCATTTTCATCATATCATATAATTTACTATAAAAAAATTAAATATGATAAAATTTGTTTTTAAACTTTGACCCCCAAAATCTGTTACGCATTTACAACCGCAAAAAAAACACCCCTGCTAAATCGTTTCTAAATTTTGTCCTGAGTTTAGAAATCCCCAAGGTTAACATGTTCTTAGCTCCTTATTGGAATGTTATAGGGCGATAATTAAATAATAAGGAAGGGAGACAGGAGAAGGGACAGGATGAATGAGAGAGTGTCCTGCAGAGTGGTAGGTGCCTCGTTATAGATAGGTTGGGCTCGGGGAGATCCCAAAAGAGGAAAGATAATTAAAACTTCACTTTTAATATAAATAGTTAAAAGGGGGGTATACAAAATATTTTAGTTCAAATAACTGTTGTAAGAAATCCTCAGGTAATACAGTTACCCTGCCTGTTAACAGAGTGAAATGCCACTGTGGGAACAACAGCTACAAATTAGTAGTGTCAGTAATGTATCGATATACCAGTATCCGGGCCCAAGGAAAAATAGCCGAGTCCCAGTGAGCTGCACTGAAGCTGTTAAAGGACCCAGTGGCGTACATACCAGGGTCGCAGGGGTCACCGGGCCCGGCTCACCAGGGGGCCCGGCCGCCCCTGCGACCCGGTATGTACCCACAGGGCCAGCCTCTTCCCCTCGGGGGCCCAGGAGCCGACCACCCCAGGGCCCCCCGAGGCTGGCCCTGCTGACACCCGGCAGGCGGGTGGCCGGTCGGGCAGGCGGGCGCGCGAGGGAGCACTCAGTGCTTCCTCTTCAGCTCCCTGGCGCACCTCACTGATACCGGAGCCGGAAGATGACGTCATCTTCCGGCGCCTGCATCCCTGCGCGGTGCGTGAGGGAGCTGAAGAGGAAGCACTGAATGCTCCCTCGCGCGCCCGCCTGCCCGACCGGCCACCCGCCCAGGGGCCCAGCAGCACCACTGGACCCCAGGGAATCCCCCCAGCACTCCAAAAGGTAAGGAGGCTGGGGGGATTAAATTTAAAAAAACGTGTGTGAGTGTTAGAGAGAGTGTTAGTGTGTGTGTTAGTGTGTGTGTCTGCTAGTGAGTGTTAGTGTGAGTGTTAGTGTGTGTGTTAGTGTGTGTCTACTAGTGAGTGTTAGTGTGAGTGTTAGAGTGAGTGTTAGTGTGTGTGTCTGCTAGTGAGTGTTAGTGTGAGTGTTAGTGTGTGTGTCTGCTAGTGAGTGTTAGTGTGAGTGTTAAAGTGAGTGTTAGTGTTAGAGTGAGTGTTAGTGTGTGTGTCTGCTAGTGAGTGTTAGTGTGAGTGTTAGTGTGAGTGTTAGTGTGAGTGTTAAAGTGAGTGTTAGTGTGAGTGTTAGAGTGAGTGTTAGTGTGTGTGTCTGCTAGTGAGTGTTAGTGTGTGTGTCTGCTAGTGAGTGTGTTACTGTGTGTGTCTTACTGAGTGTGTGTGTGTTAGTGAGTCTGTTTGATGTCTGTTAGTGAGTGTGTGTTTGTCAATGAGAGTGTATGTTTTGTGAGTGAGTGTGTATGTATGTCTGTCGCTGACTGTGTCTCTGTCAGTAAATGTGTGTGTCTGTTAGCTAGTGTGTATGCGTCTGTAAGTGTGTGTGTGTGTCTTCAGCACTTACCTTTCTCCAGCGCCGGACTCCCTTGTGACCGCGCACGCATTCAAACAGCCCATAGGGAAGCATTACTCAATGCTTTCCTATGGACGTTCAGTGTGCTCCTCTAGCGGCTGTCAGTGAAACAGCCACTAGAGGCTGGATTAACCCTCAGTGAAACATAGCAGTTTCTCTGAAACTGCTATGTTTTCAGCTGCAGGGTTAAAACTAGAGGGACCTGACACCCAGACAACTTAATTGAGCTGATGTGATCTGGGTGTCTGTAGTGGTCCTTTAAAGGACCACTATAGTGCCAGGAAAACATACTCGTTTTCCTGACATTATAGTGCCCTGAGGGTGCCCCCACCCTCAGGGACCCCCTCCCGCCCGGCTCTGGAAAGAGGAAAAGGGGTAAAACTTACCTTTTTCCAGCGCTGGGCGGAGAGCTCTCCTCCTCCGATCCTCCTCTTCTCCTCCCCGTCGGCTGTATGCGCACGCGCGGCAAGAGCTGCGCGCGCATTCAGCCGGTCACATAGGAAAGCATTCATAATGCTTTCCTATGGACGCTGGCGTGCTCTCACTGTGAAAATCACAGTGAGAAGCACGCAAGCGCCTCTAGCGGCCGTCAATGAGACAGCCGCTAGAGGAAATAGGGGAAGGCTTAACCCATTCATAAACATAGCAGTTTCTCTGAAACTGCTATGTTTATGAAAAAATGGGTTAACCCTAGCTGGACCTGGCACCCAGACCACTTCATTAAGCTGAAGTGGTCTGGGTGCCTAG